ATGGGATTTGGGTGGGATTTGGGATTGGGATTGGGATTGGGATTTGGGATTGGGATTGGGATGGGATGGGATGGGATGGGATTTTAAAAGAAAGGGTATGGGTATCAACTATATAACCCACCGAAAAAATTCTCTGTCCCTCAATGCGCTCAAAATTTGAGACGATACGTGGTTGGTCCCATACTTTCTTATACACTATGTCGATCATATATATTTTATTGTATTTTATACCAGAACGATACATTTTCTTTTCCCCTAGTACACAATCAAAAAAAACCATTAATTTCAGAATCCTCAGCGAAAATTACGTGACTGTGCAGTAAAATCTCTTAATCTAAACAATACTGAATAAGTCTTGTGTTCAATATATCTAAAATCACAAAATTCAGATACTGGTATGTTTGGATATATTAATGTTTACAAAATAATGATTTTATTAAACAATTTTAAATAATACTAGGCTGACATATTTAAAATTTAGTCACGCTAAAATAATAGAAAATAATAATAGACCTCTAATCAAATTTTGCTATTGTTGTTCATCGATTAGAATGCTTAAGTTGCATATAATATCATAAGAATTTTTTCGTCTACGTCCCCCGGTATTAGTTTTAAGTCATAAAAAGGTAAATAACCAATCTCGGATCTTTTCGGTATTTTCAGTTGAAATGGATGAATAAATTTTCTTTCGCCAATTCTTCTGCTCCATCAATTCAGTTTGAATGGTTGTTGAAGAAATTGAAGATTTTTTTATAGTATGAAATTGAATCGAATGAAAATGGAATCATAAAAGAAGCTAATTCTTTTGATCTGTGAGAGATACAGAAACCATGTAAGCCGATCACTAGCATCTTTAAAACTACAATCTAAGTTATAGATAAATATTCGGCAAAGTCTAAAGGCAGACATTCCCTCAAAATATACTCTTGGTAATTTGGATTTGAAATTTGCAGTGAAATCTAGAAGTTCGTACCGTACAAAGAAGTTGAACCTTGCCCCCTCTGTATAGTTATCTCCTTCAATAATTGAAGATCTTTGATTCAATTTTTGTGGTCTGTTCAAATATAGCTTTCAGCTTCTTAACAAAAGATTCCTGCAAAATCATTCGATCTTTTTGCAACTTTTTGATTTCTATAACCGTTTTCTTGACATAATTTACCATATCAACTGATTGGAAAAATTGGAAAATTGGGCAATTAATATTTAAGCTTAACTGATGGGTTCATTATATAGCTGATGGTTACCAGTACAATCATACACCACTTGTTACGATTGTTTTGTTTAAAACGCTTTTAAGCTAAACATGGTGTATTTTACTCGAAGTGGTAAAATCTTCTGTAAATGTAAGTTTTCAAATTTTCACTATGGTCCAAGGGTAGATCATTCGGAGAGGTCTGAATGTAATAATGTCAGAGTTTTTTGAGCTGGACTTTGTGTATATTCATCTGAAGAGGGTATGTAACGTTATCACTATTCCATCCCGATTCATTTTTCCACATGATCGCTTTGATCTTGGTTCTTGTCGCTTGATCAAAATAGTATAAGAACCAATAAAAAATGAAACCATAATACGATACTGCGCCAAACATTGCACTTACCAAATCATGATTTTTAGAAAGGGAAAATATTATTTTTAATTTATTATTATTAAAAATGAATCAATTTTTTTATTTTTTTTTCTTTATTGGATACATTCTATCAATACAATATTAATTTCCAGCAAATGTTATTAACAAATTTTGTGAATCTCAACAACAACCAGAAGATTCCCTTTGTGCAAATAATGCAAGAGGAATATGAGAAAATTTCAACCAGTGTGTTTAATCATATAATTTAGGATGAAAGAGAATTAAATAATCTCTATTTATTTTATATTTTAAAGCTAAATTACTTAATCTATATAATTTGTAAAATGATGACTTGTTCCTGTTAATTTATTAACTAAAATAATATAATAGTTATGAGGAAGGTGAAGATCCTTTATTATTATTAATAGAGGAAGAGCTTTGTAACTGTTCTTTAACAACATCAACTCTATCAATTAAATCTTGAGTGTATTTAACAGCCTCTCGTCTTTTTTTCCTAGCTGCTTCAAATTCAGGAGGACAAGCAACATCATCTAAAGTAAGTAGGGTTTGCATTAAAGCTTCCACGATATAATGATGAGTTTCCACTAATTTTGATTTAATCGTATCAGTTGTGTCTTTATCATTATCTTGTTCAGAAAGAAAGGATGAAATAGAAATTTCAAATGATTCAATTTGTGGAATTAATTTTGTTCTCGTTTTTTCAATGGATTCTGAAATTCTCTTTATCAAAGCATGCTCTTCCGGTGAACCTGTTGTTGTTTGAACTAAATCATTGGCCTAAATAAATAAATAGATAATTGAATTTAGTTATCTTTAATTTTTTCTTTAAAAAAAAAAAAGAAAAGTAGGAAGCTCATTAAGATTATTGTTACATACGTTTGGTTTATTACCAATTAAGAGTATTTTTGAAAATGGGTGAAGTCCGAATGAACCTAATTTGACCGTATTATCTTTCATTACAGCTATTTATAAAAAAAAAATGAATCAAAAATTCGATCCAAAAAAAAATATGAAATGTAAAACATAAAAAAATTTTATACAAATACCTCCGGAAAACACCAACTTTTGTCCATTCACAGGTACACCAGTAACTTTTTTCAGACGTTCTTTTAATTGTTTCAAAGTAGTTTCCTCTAGCGATCCTGCCCCTTGTAATTCAAAATCAAGGTGAATCCTTTCTTTACCCCAGCTAACAATGATCTCTGGAGTTCTTTGGGTCTCTAATAAATTTAAAGAATACATTTATTATTACAATTTTGATCCATGGAAGAGATCGAATGTATTAGTAGAATACCTTCCATCGACTTCATTGAGACTGGTAGTATAGAAAATAGTAGGGGCTTGGCGAATCGCCAGAGGAATACAAACGGAAGTGCTGTATCGACGGAAATGATGACTATTCTTATTAAACAAAATATAAACTATGTAAAACTTGTAAACCAAGTAAAAATACCAATTTTTTTTTTCTTTTTTTAAAAAAAGGAGTGAAAATAAACTTTTTTTTTTCGGAGCTTTATATAAGTCGTTACACAATATCAACTAATGAATTATTAACCCTATAAATAATACTAATTCTATAACTATTGTAATCATATTTATAATTAATTTTATATATTTATTTAATAATTTTGTTTATAATGTAACTCCGAACAATTTTTTAATTGTTCCGCAACTAATTCGGATGTAAGATCACGTTGCGGTTCGGCAAGTAATTCATATCTTAAAATAATAATAATAATAATTAAAATATGAAATGGAAATGATTAAATAAATTTTTTTTTACTTACCCAACCAAAAACTTCTTAATAGTTGGACTTCTCAATAAAGCAGGATAAAAATGAAAATGTAAATGTGAATCATTCGTATGATCTTTATCATCAACAGGAGCTTGATGAATTCCCATTGAATAAGGAAAGGAAGATTTGAAAACATTATCATATTTACAAGTAATTCTACGGATAATGTTAGCAAGATCTTGTTGTAATTTATTCCTATCATTCAAATCAAATAAACTAATAATATGAGATTTTGATATGATCATAGTTTCATAAGGCCAAATAGCCCAAAATGGTGTTAAACATAAAAAGGAATCATTTTCGCAAATTATTCGTGGCTTTTGTTCTAATTTAATCGTTTCAAGATAAATATAATCACATAATAAACAGGAATGATTTTTTTCATAATAATTTTTCATTGAAAGTAACTCTTTTGATGGTTCTTCTGGTATGGTCTCTGTACACCAAATTTGACAGTGTGGGTGTGGATTTGAACATCCCATTATTGATCCTTTATTTTCAAATATTTGAATATAATTGATATAAGGTTTGGTTGACATTTCTTGATATATTTTTATCCACGATTGAATTACATGCAATATTGCGTCCTCTGTCATTTCTGCTACGGTAATGTTATGCTTTGGAGAAAAGCACATTACCTTACATTCACCTCTAACCCCTTCAGCACGTAACAAGTTCGAAAATTTATCTAAAAAAAGAATAATTAATTAAAAAATTTTTATATTTTCCTATTAAATAATTAAACATACCTGTTTGCTCTTGAGGTAAGTATTCTGGTTGTTCAATTTTAACAGCAGCAAAATCATTGCTAAATATAAATGTACTTTCATAATTGTAATTTTTGGCTCCTTGAGCTCTTTCATTGCCAGGACAAAGATAACACTTTGGATCATATTCTGGCAATAATTCATTATTATTGACTTCATTCTGTCCTTGCCATGGTCTTTTTGTTCGATGTGGTGAGCATAATACCCAAGAATTTGTTAAGGGGTTAAACCTACGATGTGAATGTTCTTCAAAGTTAAATTCTTCTGTCATAATTTTTTTTTTTATTGTGCAAATTCAAAAAATCCACATTTTAAAAAGGTTTATTATCACATGATCCGACTTTCGGTTTGACAATCATATTACATAAGGGTGTAAAGTACAAAATTTTCCTATATAAATTTATTATGAATCCAAAATAAGTAATATGTAAAATTAATCAGTAAAAATATTATAATCATATTCAGATTTGGGATTTCCCACTTTAAAAGGGACTTCAATTTTTTTTAAAAAAAAAAGTTTTCCAAGTACAAAATTACAAGGAAATCCGAGTAATTAATAAATAATAATATCCTATAAATCCCACGACTGGTGCTATTAACGAGAAGTCTTGGTGACCCGAGAGCCAGAACTTCCACCATGATCACTACTGGCACTAGCATTACTTGCAGCGCTCGGCCGCCTTTTAGTCTGACTCGTCGAAATTATTCCAGGATTACCAGAGTTAAGATTACTACCACCAATGATGCCAGATCCTCCTTTTTGGTCATTATTATGAGATTGTGAACTACTTCCAGCATGTTTGTTTGCTGCTGTTGAATGTAGAGTTGATTTATCGCGATGATCACGACCGCGTCGATTTTGTGCTGACTGGCTGCTTGAACGTCCAAGAGAATGATGATGTTTGCGTTTCTTTTCGTGTTTCGTTTGTACAGCTCTAAAATGAGTTAAAAGGTCTTGGAATTTTATACCATCATCTTTTGTAGGCATATTTGACTTGGTTGTTGAACGTTTGGTATCCGCTGTGGGCGTACTTAACGAATAAAATAAAAAAATTTGTTAAAAAAGATATTTAATCAAAATTACTTGATATTTTATAACATATAATACCTTTTTGGTATCAAATGTAAGAATCCCATTGATGAAACACTGGTCAACCGATTTTTTAAACTGGCGAACGCACTACTCTGTGGTAAAAGCATTAACAAACCATATAGACATTTAAAAAGGTAAGGATATTTGTCTGGTTCGAGAAGTTGTAAACGGAGATCTGAAATTAATTAAATGTTAATATCTTATCCATTATCGGATAATTATAATAGTACATTTTTCATAAATACATGTAAATACTGGTGATTCTAATAGTTGGACAAGTTTATCGATCTGAATAAGAAGATTTACAGTTATATCCAAATCGGCGCTAATAAGCATGAAGCCAAAAAAATTTTTTAATAATTATTATGATGAATCTAAATTCTATAATGTCAAATTGTCAATACATACAAGCTTTGTAATAAATTTGCCGCATGCTCATATGCTTGTGCCAATAAACATAATGAAAATGTCGCAACAGGATTATGGCACCAAGATTTGTACAAAGCAGTAAACAACATTTGCCCGTCTTTAGTTTCAAGGCTTTTGAGTCTCTTTCGCAGATCCGAAAGATCAGGGGAAGTGATAAGAATGCTATTAAGGTTCTGCACCATGCTGGAAGCAAATTCTATCTCCTATTTATTATAACCAATAATAAATAATGTGGTCGAAATCAAAGCAGAATTAAACAGAAACAAACAATAAATACAAATATATATTTACCTCCTCCTTTTCCAATATTTCTGCAAAACTACGGTAAATTCTTTCCGAATTAAGACTCATACATAAGTGCCGAATAATCAAACTACCCCTTGATTCTAGTAATCGTCGATCGGTACTAAATAATTTTAACAAATCAACCATAAAGCGTGTAAAGTATTCTTCCGAATTATAAGACAATTGAGCAAGAAGTTGAAGATCACGTTTTACGACCTAAATACAATCAAGAATACAATGTTTCAATTATAAATATTAAAAATTGAAGGAGTTCAAATAAAAGTAATATTAATTCTAACCTCGTCTGATGGATCTGAAAGAGTCTTTAACAATACTGGAAAAGTGCCATCATCAATTGCAAGAATCTATAAAGTTATTTAAAGCGGAATCATTTTTGATGTCGTAATTACAAAATAATGCTTTCTATAATCCGACCGAACCTTTTTGGATGCTTTCTTATGCAGCATTAAAAGCCAATCCAAGCTTGCAACTCTGGTTTCTTCGTGTTCGTTATTAACTTGATGCATCAAAGCATCAACAGTTTTCAGGTAATCAAATGGATCAGCTTGTTCATAAATTGAATGTAATGTATTATTATAGTTGGGTTCTTTGGTGCTTCCCATATTCATTAAAAAATCCATGGATGAATTAGATGATAAATGTGTAGAAGAATCTCGAGTCGCAACAGAATACGAGGGTGGTGGAATAGTTGGGGCTGGATTAGTTGGAGTTTCAATAATTAACTTATAAAGGCTTCGATTCACATCTATTGCGACTGTTTTGATAGGTAAACAATACTGTTAAGGAATAAAGCCGTAACTAATAATGATTTAATACCTAAAAAAAAAAAAAGGATATGTTTCACTGTATGGGCCAACGAAGGCAAAACGGCGCTTATTAATTGAGGTGTAAATGAAATTATGACATCTTTAGCGAGCGTTATAAATTCGTTTATCCATTTTAGTGCTGTAGCCTGGATTTCTTCCTCTGATGGAATTAAGTATAAAACGGGTAAATGAAAATTTCATGATAAACTTTTAACAGCTAAAGAAAACGTACCAGGTGAAGACAAATGAGGCATTAAAATTTCAACAATTCGAGTGTAATTAATGATAACCCCTTGACCAGGAACCCAAGAACCTTTCCCTCTTCCCTCAGTTTCGCTTATCGAAACTGCATCCCAGTTGAAATCTCCATCAACCGAATCAATAGATGATTTTACCAGTGTAACATCATCACCATCACCATCACTATCCTTTATACTTTCACCTGCATCCAAAGCGGTTTCAGACGTATTAGCTAGCTTTCGTTGTTGTTCAACAAAATAATTTTTCATTGCCTGTTGCTTTTGTTGTTCCTTAACCTCAACTGCCTCACGTATTTCAGCCAAGAAATTCGCGAGGACGTTAGAGGTTGCATATCGAACATCATGTGGATCACTTAAAAATTGCAAAAGACCATCCAAGAAAGCCGGTAAAAATGACACGAGCTCGAGATCTGGTATTGAATCCAATACGGTAATCCATGATACCAGAAAGTTGCGTGTAAATGGATTTTTTGCTCGAATACGTTCGGATAATAAAGGAATAAATCTAGGTAATGAGAATGCAGTTGTACGTGGCATTGAAACTGTTTCCATCGGATCGTCATGTGAAATAGGATGATCTAAGACAGAAACGTATGTGGTAGACTGTTCTGCTACAATATCTTTTATTAATCTATCCAAAAGCTCGGCTCCATTTTTAACGGAAAGTTCTGAATCTGCAGCCAACTATTATTGATGTTTACGTAAAAGGTAAAAATAAGGAGTATAAATTATAAAGAACTTTTTTTTTTTTTAAAAAAAAAAATAAGAATTTACCTTACTCATTGCATCAAAAACTTCATTAAAATATCGCAATATTTCTCCTTTTGATACTTTCGCAATATTATACATACTTTCGCAAGCATAATATCTAACACGAGAATCTTGATCTGCAAAACAAGCAAGAACTGGAGGAACTATATCATCCAAATATGGTGCTACATCCTAATAATTTTGGTTGGATGCTTATTAAATAGGTTTAGATCATTTAAGAACGTAATTTTAGTAAGACTTACAGGGCCCAAAGCTATAGACGCGGCTGCCAAAGCAATTAATCCTCCATTCCGTGCATTGGGATTTACCGAATACGCGAAATCTTGAATAAGTTTATCGAGAATTCCTCGAATTCTTTGAACTTTACTCGGACTTTCAGCTTCTCCAGCGTATTCACGAATAAGCCTAAATATATATAATATTACGGAAAATATTTAATAATCTAACTATACGTACCTAAAGGACGCATTTAAGGCATAATAGTGTACTTGGAAATCAATAATGCTTACTTTTCAACTTCTAATGCAGCGGTTTTACGCTTATCATATACTCGTTCATTAAGTCCACGAACAATTTGGGCGTTTAGCGCTGGACCGTCTGCCATCGCCATGAAGTAAAAATTTTAGGTAATTTTTAAAACAGTATTCGTAAGATCTACGGAAAAGTAAATTGAGTTGGATAAAATCAAACATCTATTTTAGATAAACGAGTAATTTAAAATCATATGATGTCGTATTACGTTACATTTTGGCTGTCAAAATAATCTCTTTCAGAATTGTGCTACCCTTAAAATCACACCCCTCACGTAACATTATGTAATATTACTTAAAACTTTGTTTTTTCATGACTGATTTGGTAATTTGTATATTGGTCAATATGCAAGTTATGTATCTGAAACTTATCGATAATCTGGCCAAATGTTTAATAAAATTTTTGTCTTTCGTTGTTATATATCGGTTTAATAAATTTGTAGTATTGCTTCATAGAAGTTAATGCTTTTTCAGCGATAAATCTCAGTTAGGCTTGCGCTTATGCTAATTGGAAGTAACTTAGATTCCTAAATATAGTCTTTATATAAGAAGTAAAAGAACCTTGAGACTTGTTTTTTGATCAAATAAATCTCCGTGATCTCATGAAATTCAACTTTTGTTAAATATACATAATTATTAAAGCATTAAATTTCTTAATATATAAAAAAAATAACATCAAATTTAAATGATACCTAATTATAATATGATAGGGTATAAAAACGTGATTATGTAACAAAAAATTTGATTCTTTGATTAGGCAAATAAAATAATATTGCATAAAGTATATAGTCTTTTATTATACTTCAGATAATTATAGTAATATTAAATATAAATATATTATAATTGTAAATATCTTTTATATATATTTATTTTAAATTTTTTAAATAGATCTACTTAGTTAAGATTGCTTATCTAAACTTATTTTAAATTTGATAAAGCATCTAAACTTTAGTTTTACTAATTTTTTATTAAGGTTTTGATATAGTTTTATATTTTTATAAGCTTTTATCTTTTTCAGAATTTTGCAGATTTTTTAAATATAATTTCGCTAATTTTACTTTTTTCATTTAGACAACTTGCAAAACCTTTAAATTTTGTCTAGCAACCTTATACTTAATAAATTTTTATTAGTAATTTTCTTTTTATATACTTAAGCTATAAGTAAGGTTAGAAAATTTATATGTATTAAATAAGTTTTTTTTACATTCTAAATACTACTAAAAAAAATAATATAATTTTGTTAATTTTATATATTAAATATGAAAAAATTCAATTAGTGAATTTAGAATCTGACTTCTTTTAATTTATTTCATTATTTTAATTTTAATATAGAAAATAAATTTCAAATAATCATACTAAAAATATCAAAGATAATGCTTTTAAAAATGCTTTTATATAATAATTTATATTAATTAATTTAATAATTTATTTAATTTTTTTTTAAAAAGAAAATTCTATTTTAAATGTTTTTAGTTCTGTACTGCTAAAAAAATTTTACAAAAAAATAGCTATTTACAAAATATTAATTCTACATCATATGTAGCTGATGAATATTATATTATCATGAAAAAGAAAAGATCATAAATACAAGAAAGTAACAATAGTTAAGAAATATTATAAAAATTGCACTTTTAATAAATAAATTAATAATTAGTATTAAACTATATTAAATAATGTTATTTAATAATAATTTATAATTTAATATAATAATAAAATAAATAATTAATAACTAATTGTATTAGCAAAAATTATTAAATAGTAAATTAATGATAAAATAATTTATTATTGTTTAAAAAGAATGATTTACTATTATTAAAATTTATTATTATTCAAGAAATAAAATTAATTGACTTGAATTTTATTAGGTTAAGTCAAATTAGAAAGAAATAATTTGATTTAACATTAATCTAAAAATTTATTAATTTAATTTGAATTTTTCAGATCAAATAATAGATTAATTTAATTTAATTTAAAACTTTAGCTAGTTAAATCCAGTTAAATAGTTATTATCAAAATTAAAAAATATATCAGAAAATATTTTTAATCTATAAAAATATAAAGTAATTGAAAATATTTTACATAAAAAATTAAATTAAAATTTTAATTATATTTAATAAATTTTAATTAAAATTATGATTTATAAAGTTAAAACATATATTAACAATAATAGTTAGTCAATTATATATAGTATTAATTTATATATGATTTAATTAATAACAGTTTAAATATTAATTTTGATTATTATATATATATATTTGAATAATTAATAAAAATATAAAATTTATTACTTTTGTTTAATTAGTATATTTACCTATAATTTTTAATTTTAAAATGCAGCATTAATAAATCAATTAAAAAAAATATATTAATATTATAATTGATAAATTAATTAATATTTATAAAAAATTAACTATAAATATTTTATTAATTTTAATAAACTTTATAAAATTGATTATAATTGATTACTTTAATATATAAATAATATGGGATCTTTATAGTAGAAAAAGAGAAAATAGCTCAAAAAAATAAAATTAAGTTAATGCTAAATCTAAACAAATTTTGATCTAAAAATCATATTTGACATATAAAAGTAAAATTGATTTTTTTCAGCTATTTCCTTCTTTTCTATTGCAAAGGTCCTATATTATAATTTTCTAACTTATTATTTAAAACTATTAATAATTATTTAATTTTCTTTAAAAATATTATTTTATTTATTTAGACAATACTACTTTATTAAAATCTTTTATAAATCTTTCTACTATTATATTTTAAATAAAACATAATTGCTATTTAATAATTAAATTAAAGAAATTTAAATTGAAAATCAAAATTTTCATATTTTAAATATATAGTATTAAATATTATAACTTTTTTACTATTATTCAATATAAAAAAAAATAAATAACTTAATTATATTATTTTAAATATTATTAAATTCTTTATTTTATCTATATAATTCAAAATAATTTAAATTTATTATTAAACTTTACTTTTTTTTATATTAAAATTATGATTTAATTTTATTTTTAGAATACGAAAAGATTGCAAAAAATCAGGTTCTATAAATTTTTTAACAAATTTTGATTTTTATTATATTTTAATTTAATTATTAAATTAAAACGTAAATTTTTTATATTTAAAGTTTTTAATAAGTTGAGTTATAAGTTAGGAATCTTAATTTTTAAAATATATTTATTAAGTTAGAAAAATTTACAATTATATAAGTTAAAATATAAGTTAATACAACTTATTTTTCAGAATTCTATCTATATATTTTATATTTAATATTTTTTTCTTAAAAAAAATATTTGTTATAATAAACTAATATAAAATTTATATAGTTACTTTAATTATATTATATATATAGAAATAAGAATAATTCAAAAAGATCAACTTTAAGTTAATTCTGAAACTAATTATAAATACTAGTTGAAATAGTCAAAATTAGCTAGAAATTAAATAGTTAATTTTAGGCTAATTTTGATACTATTTATAGCTGATTTATCATAGTTTTTAATTAATATAAATTTGCATTAATAAACATTAATTAACTCCAATTAGATATAACTATTCAGCATCAATTTAAAACTTAAATTTAACCATAAATCTGCCTAAAATTGATATTAATTTAGCATTAATTCAAAACATAAATTAGCCTAAAATTAATTTTAATTTGGCATTAATTCAGCATCAATTTACAGTAGTAACAGAAAAAAAATGACAGTTGCGATCATGTGATTAAAATAATAATTAACATCACATCTGATTAGACAACACAAACCAATTTTTTGTTTAGTTATTTACTATATTATACTAATTAATATGTATAAAAAAACTGAATACAAGAGTACCTCATAACCAATATGATGTAATAATACTGCAAAAAAATTTTTATTAAAGAATGTCGTGAGATAGTTAAATCATTGTAAAATAATAAAACACAAAATATAAACAAACTACATAAAATTACCAAGTTTCCACTATTAATAGTCATCTTAGTTAAAAAAACTAAAAATTTAAATCAACGATGTTGTTCAGGACATCCAAAGGTTTTAAGTCTAAAAAGTAATGTTATCTTAATCAGCTCGCTCATTTGTGTGCTAGTATAACAAGTTTTAAAATTGCAAATACTCTTAATTAGAGTTCTGAATAAGTTGAGTCAAGTCGAGTTTAAAGATCAACTTGATTTGACTCTCTTTTTTCGAGTTGAGTCGAGTCAAAATTATTTTATAAAATCTTTCAATTTAATTTGATTCGAGTTATATAAATTTTAAACTCGACTCGATTTGACTCGACTTGATTTTAACTCAATTTGACTTTGAAAAAAATAATAAAAAAAAACAAAAAGATCGGGAGGGGAAGGAGGGGGGAAGAGCGAACGATTCGTTATCGTTCAAGTCAAACGATTCATCATTGTTCTTCTTGAACGATAAAAAAATATCGTTCAAGTCAACTCGAGTCAACTCAAATCAAGTCGAGTTTAAATCAAGTCAAGTTAAATATTTAACTCAATTTAAATTTGATTTGACTCGCAAATCATTGAGTCAAAAAAACATAAACTCGACTCAATTTAAACTCGACTCAGCTTATCTGACTCATAAGTTAACTCGACTTGTCTGAAATTCTACTCTTAATAATACTTATTTAGGTCTTAACATAGCCACTCATACAATTTGTGAGAACCTTTAAAAGCTTAATTATCAAGTTTGTGTTTTTAAAAAATCTATTCCTCACTTCAATTACAAAAGAGAGATAAGTTTTTTAGGCAGAAGTTCATAAAAATAAAAATTGGAAAATATAGTTTTTTCTGATAAAATGACCTTTCAAATATTTTGTAACACTATCTTAATTTGTTATAAAGAGTATGAAGAAAAATCAACTCATAAAATTATCAAATACCTATTCAAAGTTTATGTTATAAGGCTTTTTATTTATAAGGAATTGTTGAGTTTTACATATTTACTGAAACTATGAATGAAAAGTTGTACTATAAAATTTTAACAAATAATCTTTTTAATCAAGCATATCAGCTTCTTGAAGGGTCCTGAACATTCTAACAAAATAATAATCTGAAGCA